CAAGATTAACCTGGTGCAAACATATGGAAGGAATCTGTTCCAGGCTGCATTTGTCTTTTGCCGAAGCTCACATTCTGGCACAGGATCGGGAACGTTGGAAGCACTGTCTGACGTGTCTGCCTCCGCGACCCGAGAGGAGAAGCGGCGATGGAAGATGAAGATGATGAACTAAATCTGAACAGGATATGAAGAATATGTCTAATTTATGAATTTCAATGTCAAATGGTGGCAACTTCAGCTTCTCCGAAACCTTCTCTGGAAAACGTGCGATTTACCAGTATCAATATTGCGGATAGTTTAAAAAATAATAAATTAACCATTTTTTTCAGTTATGCCAATTTATGTCAATTATGCTACCGATGCAATAGAGCGTTTTATTTTCCCCCGAGAAAAAAAGGAATCTATTTACATTTTCTGCCATCATGTCTGTCTGTCTGCTGTCTTGCAGAAGGTTCTGCCGTAGTGCGAACTTCTGAAGCACTGTCTGTACTTACAACAACTACCCAGCGTCAGACAAGCCTCGAGCGCTGCGGTACCAGAATAACATCTGTCAGCCACCGGAAGCTGCTGCGGTAAGTAAAATAGAGTACCTCAAGTACTACTTACTCGCAGAAAATGTAAACGATCGACGCCTTTCCGTACATCTTTTCGGCCACCTCATCACACAGCTTCAGCAACGGTTGGTAGTCCTCGACTGATGATGATTTGATGAACAACACGAGGACATTTTTGTTGACCCTAAGCAATTTCTTGAATTCTTTAATATCCTTCACTTCTTTGATAAGGTTCTTTGGCGTCGATCCAACACATGGCGTCGCTAACCACTGAAATAGCATGATAAATGCATAAATGGTAAATGACACATATATAAAATATGGCCAGGGAACGGGTTAACGATTTCATCATATGAATGATGGATGATTCGCTTCACCTTTAAAGAAAACACAGAAATGCATATACATCGATCTCATAAAAACACTAAGGATCCAAAGGTGCATGCAGGATCCTTACCAGCACCATATTCACAAAGGTAATAACAATTACAGCAAAATCGTTGTCAGAACATGGTTGACGACGTCACTGATTAATGACAGTGAAAATGGCAGAACTAGGAGGGACAACAGTGCAAATGGTAGTCGTCTGGTTTTACAGTTCTAAGATGGGAGTTCGAATTAAAGCATGGCGTTACGTCTTTTAATAACATCCTATCATTTTAGTTAGCAAGGAGTTCAATTCACAATCCTTCGGTAACCATTCGAAAAATGGATACGTCGAAGACTTGTGGTTGACAGTGACAGAATGGACGGAGTGCTTCAGTTCTTGAGACTTACTGCCAGATACGTATTACGTTTTACGACCATAGTGTGCTTCAACCCACCTGACAGTGATTATAAACGTGCACAATGGGCTAACCATAAATAAAATAATTAAGTGATACCGACATAACATTTAATTACAATCAAGAAGATGGTATATCTTATAACTGAGTATCATCAATAATTGCTGTTACCATTAAGTTTCATCGGTGTTGTCATCAAATACACTGTGGCAATGATAAATAAATGATTATGACATAAGGTCTGCTATAACTGGTAACTAATGACGTCTTGACTAAAATGGCAGAGCGTGCGCTAAATGACTAATCATTGTTAAAAGCTGTTAAAAGATTTTCAGAAGCTCTACTCACTGGGTAACCTAGATGGCCTGATGGCTATCTTGGTGATATGAATGCTAGGTTCTGTCTACTTCCTTATATGAGGGTTCGGCGTCATTCATACTTAGATTTTTTCTCTGTCTCGAATCAGATACAGATTCAGCAAATCGTATTCTCTTGAAAAACAACATAAATCAGGGTTTATTAATATATATATAACGTGAAAAATTATACGGTCAATCGGATGATGGGTCAATATCGAAGTTTCGGCTCGCTTCTTATGAGCCTTCTTCAAAGCAGAAGGTTGGTAAAGTTTCACAGGGTTTTCTTGTTGTCCGCAGCAGTTGTTAAGCTTGGAGCCAGAAGGTGAACGCATATTAATAAATCATGTTTATCACGTTTTCAATCTGATCACCGACACATGAACGCAATTTTTTAAGACTGTTTTCTTACGGCATTACGAATATACGTTCAGCATTGGCGTCCTTGTAGTGGACAACGAACAAAGAAAAGGAGCGAAACCATGATGAATTTCGATGGCTCGTTTTTACCATTTTTCAGAAATAAAAGTTGGTGACAAACCCAGAAATAGTCAGCTAACGAAAGAATGCAGTCAGAGGTTAGGCAGAGCTGTTTTTGTGAAAATGGTACATCTCTGATGGATACCCTTAATAACCCGTCGGACGAATTTGAGGCCAACATCAGTATTCATCCTCAATAAAAGTTTGGTAAAATTATTTCACCATTCCGTCAAACCTTTGAACGGAGGCTGACAACTCTTCGGCAACACTAACAAAACGTCGCAAAAATGCTTGATTAAAAATATCATGAAATGGAGAGTATAATGCCCATCGCATCGTTTGAATGGTCAAGACATAAGTGAAAAATTTGGCAAAATAGTGTTGCCAAAACTTGCGTACAGATGTTCAATCCCTCTGAAAGAAGAATGACATTTGTCGTTGTCGCTGATGAGACTAGAGTACATCATTCATGTTTCTTTCTGATCAATAAGTGCTGAGTGCTAAGCTGTTGCATGACCCATATTCAAGGTTTTGAAACTTTTTAAAAACCAGTCTTGAGCAACTGTCGAACAACGCTGAAGCTGTAGAGTGATTTTGTTCTGCTTCCTGGATAATACCTTGAAGCTTTCCAAGGTATAACATACCGCTGAATGGATCAGAAATTTAACAAGAGTCATCTGTGGCTATGCTGAATCGACTGTTGGGCCAACATCAATAGATGCTTTGCATTAACTGCAGACTGCTTTGGAATCATCACATCTACTCACCTAAACATTTCCCATTTCGATGCACCGATTACAGCAAAATTAACCTACCTGACTCTAGGCTAAGTTTCGCAAAGTTTAACCTAAAAATTTTTAAACTTCTGGACGAAGGTCTCACTTGGGGAACAGTCAAATTAAATGCTTAAAGCAAGTATACAATGTCAAAAAACTTACCAAACAAAAAACCAATAGCGAACACAAAGCACGAGTCTTCATTCTTCAATCAAACCTTGAAATAAAATACTTTAACTAACGGTTGGATATTATAGCTTTCATATTAGTATATTAAAAATCAATGAAAAGAAAAAGCCGAATCAGTCCCAGACTATATTTCAGACTGAATCCAAACTCTGTTATAAGAATTGCATAAGGAAAAAAACAAATGACCTGAAATTGCTAGAACAAATCATACAGGGACGCCACCGAATACTGGAAGTCTGTCTACACCGTAGACACGGTCAAGAAGCAATCGTCAATTAAATAAGAAACAAATTGCACAAAATAAGATGCATT